GAAAATAATCGGAAGTTTCAAATTGCAGGTTTCTCTTTGATTGGCTGATTTAATTGGGATCAGCTAACGTGACAAAAGTGGGCGGCATTCGAAAAATCATGGTTCTCTGGCAGGCGGTATTTCTCGCGGCTTCGCCGCTCGTGACGGCTCCGCCGTCAAATCTCACTCGACTATATTACAACGGCTCCGCCGCCAAATCACACTCGACTACTACACAATACCGCCAGCTACGCAGGCTATCGTCGCCTTGGTGTTTAAGCCAGCTTTTTTTATATATATATATATTCACTATAAATATTTTTTCTTTATCTTAACTCCAGACCCTTTATTACTTTTGTATAATATATTTTTGTCCGGCATAAACTATAACTGTCACTTTTGAAAATGTAAATTGACTAAAAAACAGGGTAGAAAAAAGCGTTGTAAAGTTAATGTTTGTTTAGCATTTCATACATTTACAAAACCGGTTAGTTAATATAATTCACACGGAATCGCGTTCACACCGCACAAAAAAGTTCCATTTACCGAAAATGACAACCACAAAAGCCTGAAATTAGTATTAATTTAAGAAATGGAACATGAATTCCCGTTTGAAACCGGGTTTGAAACATTCCGACTGGGAAATAAGGACTACCTTTTCAGACGTTCCGTTGCTCCCGGAAATTTTTAGCTGAAATTGGGCCCAAAATCGTGTTTTATTCACTTTTCAACAGAATTTTTCTGAAACATTTCTGTAAATGTCTATAACTTTGGTAAACAACCAACGTGTATCACCGCTGTTTCTGTTTTATTTTTTAGTAAGATTTGCTTCAGTATTTTATATCAAGTGCGTCCAAAAAAAAACTAAACTTTTATACTTAATTAAGTTGGCAGGTTACCCTGTGCGCATGGACAAAAAATTGTGGTAAGTTGGTGTTGGTGTTACCTCGAATGCTGACCAAAACGATCGCAGGGACTGGGAACGAGATTCTTAACTGACATGACGTGACTTGGGTAGCCTGTGCCAGGCTCTCAGATAGTATACATGTAGTGGGAACGTATTAAAACGAGCAAAGCGAAAATAAGACGCGCACGACTTGGGAAAGGGGGCGTTTTTCGCATTTCTTATTACTGAACGACTTTCCACCACCATCTCGGAGCCTGGAGCAGGCTAACTGCATATCAGAATTAAAACAAAACTGAATGCAAGGCAGCTGGCACTACGGTAAAGGGCTGATTTTTTTGAGGCCAATATTTTTTGCTAACAAAATTAGCCTTCCTCAGGGTCAGAGCCGGCTCCCTTTCAGTGTAGCTCTGGCCCTGAGAAAGGCTAATTTTGTTTACCGAAATATTGGCTTCAAATAAATCAGCTCTTTGCCATCTTGCGAGCTTTGGATTCAGTTTTGTTTTAATTCCCTCTTCAAGCGACGTCTGGCATTAGCACCTCTACATTATAGAGCCGGTGAGAAAGAACCAGTCGGTTTTATTTACGCGTCGAGTAGAGCTCTGTTTTATTTAGGCGTCGAGTAGACCGATGCAGGCTAGGTCTTTGAAACGAAACATTGGGAAATAAAATCTCCCTTTTTAGGTGTCTTTTTAACCTATATATAACTATCCAAATAATGATTGTATATTAATTCAAAATCATTGTTTGGATAGTTATATATACCGATTTACTTGTACGCTACACTCTTTTTTTTTTATAAGAATGTTGTTTGGTCTTGTTTTTCCGGCCCAGGCTGAATATTCTTATTTTTCTGCTGATTTTAGGCTGAAAATATTCTTGCATTATTCTTAAATTATAGCTTATGACATTTCCGTTTTAGAATTGTGCACGTGCTCCATTGCTTTTCGGTCAAGACGTCACGTCAAACGACACTTGGCCGTTTTGGCTTTAAAAAAAGCATTTCGCACAGAAATAGCGTGATGGAAACGAAAGTGCCCGATTTTGTTTCAACTATGTCAAGGACAATTAAGTGTAATCACTGCAGTAAACTCTTTGTTAACCAGTAAGGGTTGTCTGTACATGAGAAATGTGTGCATGGTGTTAGCGGAATGACAAAGACAGCCAAAACTATATTTATCCTCTTCAAAGTCTCAGCCTCGGCTTTATTCTTAAAATATTCTTAAAATTTCGCAAATTTCAGCCTCGATATTCTTATAAGATATATTCTTATAAAAAAAAAGAGAAAAAAAGTGTACTAGTATTATACCTTGTACGGGCGAAGATGATGTTTGAAACATCGAAAAATGTCGTTGTGTTTTTAAAAATTAAAGTTATCATCATTATTATTATTATTATTATTATTATTATTATTATTTACATTATTATTGCATTATTGATCTTAGGAAAAACAACCTTCGCATTAAAAATTCCTGCTGATACTGTTTGTCAAATTGTGTTTCTCTCAATTATTATTGTCAGCAAGGGGTCCTATGAATTATGATTTCCCGTGTTAGGGACACTTCTTCACAGTTAAGGATGTCCGGCATTTGGAAATGTTTTGCGAAAAAAGGCATTCTTTTCTTTAAAAAATACCTAAAATGATTTACTGTACATTCCTTCTACGAGATCACGTGTACCGAACTTGTGCACGCGATCTGATCGTGCAGGATGGAAACGCTTACATAACATTTACTCTATGAAATATGAAATTACATCTTTTCACGTTCGCGGGGTCCAAACCCTAGCAGGGGTGGGGGGAGGGGTACCACTGAGAGAATTTTTAAAAACATAACCCTGTTTAGGATTAAAAAATAAGCTCTGGTAGAAGAGGAAATCTCTCTTACGAATGAATACCTTGTAAGTAGCATAGCTAGAGCCTGTTGAGTGTAGAGACGCGCCAAAACACTATACCTTGTCCGTCTAACGACACATTTCCTTAGAGTGAGGCGAAGGGCCCCTCCCTTTGGGTTTTAGTCGCGCCTAACAATTTGGGTTAAAATTAATGGTTTTATTCTAAGAGACAGAGTCAGTATATCTATGGTTAATTGGTCTTCATGTACGTGCTTGCCTTGCAGAAATCTCGATTACTGGAAATGGAACGACCTTTTGGAAACCCAAGCTAAGCCAGTTGGTGATTTGATACTACAATCTATTATCACTTGGGTTTTGTGATATTTATTTATAATGAACAACAAATACAACGGAAATGTTTATTAAACCGCCCTTTTTGACGAGACATGAATACTTTTGAGTCGCGAAAGCATGAAATTCAGTAAAAGAGATAAACAGGGAGGCGTTCAAGAAGCAACAAAACGGCAACATACAAAATCATCATGCATCACAGCAAACTGAGTAGATTTGTGAGTGGTGGAGAACGACCTCCCGTGTTCCGCTGGTCACCCAATACGATTGGCTATATATCACAAGAATCAAATGATTGACATGTATTGTGAGAGTGCAATCACTTCGTGTCTGGGTTTTCTTTGAACAGGTCTTCCGTACCAGCCTCGGATTGCCCTGAGGTTTGCTTGCACTGATATTCTTCTTCCGCTATTTAACGAAGGAAGACGTACTGTAGTGCTTGGATGCAGTGGAGTCGTTTCTTAGATTGTTGGAGACCCAAACAGGTAATTTATTCGAGCTGTCATATTTTACTTTTTTCACGCCTTTGCATGGCAACCGAACTTCTGTGTTATGTAGGCTCACTCCATTCAATAGAACTGAGCGTAGCGTTATTTGAACTATTATCCTTTGTCCTGGCATTATTCAACTGAACTGCTCTGTGCATTTGAAAGTAGAAAATTTGCGCCCTGGTTTGTGTTTTGTGGCAAGATAACAGCTTGAGATCTCACAAAATTGATATTTCTGCTGTGATCCACCCCCTTCATATAATTTAATATTTTTTCTTCACCAACTTCAGTAACACAACTGGCACGAGGAAGTTTGAGATCTCGAAAATGCTTCAGTACTCGTTGTGGATCTTAGGACTAAAATTTACTAAACGGGTCAGATAAAAAGAATTGTTCTCCAAGTTTTCTTAAAATGTTTGCTAAATTTTGTGACCGAGGCTGTGAATGGCAACAGAATTTGTCACTACATTTGGCGCCACTCGACTCCTGGTACGATGCGACGGCATGTGCCGTTGAGTAAACTTGCGAACTTTATTATTCACAGTTTTGTAAGCTTACAAGAAGTGATAATTTGAGTTTTGTTTCCATGTACCGTTTTAAGAAATTGGATTTTTCACTCCTAAAATACCATGTCATCTTCTTTGGTGTTAAAATTGTTACTGCCAATGCTCAGCTGCATCGAACGTACGAATGCCGATTGTGTTTACTGTGGGACTAAATCTGTTTATAACTGTGTAAATAAATTGTAAAATCTTTTTCATCGATATGCGTACACTGTAGTAAGTCATACAATGATTAGTGTGTGACAATGGAAAAAGAGAAAATGTTGAAGTGCTTTTCTACACCCTTCCTACGCCCGCTCTGTGCGTGACAAGTACGGCTTGCGGGTCAAAAAATATTCTTCTCTGTGTATCTTCATAGTCTATTTCTGTCCGGGTATGTTAATATAAATATTGAAGCATGAACAGAGAAACGCTGATATTGTCATAGATTTAAATGTTAAAGTGTAATTTGACATTCTTTACCCAGAGCGTGCTTCTTGTGGCTTGGAACTCTTTCTCTGGTGTTCACAGAAACGGGTTATAAATCACACAAAAGCCAGGAGCTTGGCTTTTTCAAACCATAGCGCTCCTTGAAAATGCCGCGAGGGGCAGTTTTGCTTGCTCTCTTTGGGCTTATCATAGGTAAGTATATTATCGCTTCCCTTTATTTATTATTCACCGCGCGGGTTATTTGTGTGATAATTCCTTTTGTAATGGTATCTAAGGGTATTAAAGTTGTCTGGATATAAACACATGAAGTTTTCATGGAAAGGAAACGATTTTAACATTTTGACACGTCCACCAAATTTGATTTTTACGGTTCTGTTTAGTGCTTGTTTGTTCGCAGCAACAGTGGTAAATCTACGCCTTTCATAATCCATAATATCGCAAGCAACCAAATGATGTCTTATAGCTTGTTTTTTATTTATAGTTAAATAAAAAAGCAGGGTCGAAAACCCGAAGTCGGTTATGTCATCGTTGTGAACCTGATAGGGAATTGATTTCGCGCGCTTGTGTAACGAGTTTTCCCTGTTAGAGACGGAAACGCCTTTCACACGCTCCCAAATTTCTTCACTTTTTCACTCAACGTGGGTAGATGTATGGCGGCGGCTGGTGTCGTAACGCCTTGCCCAAGTGGAATTAAACGTGGTTTTTATCCGTAGAAAAATAATATTTGCAGGTTATCATGCAGTTAAGAGAAAAAAAAATATAAACAGAATAATATAATTGGGTGAGCTTTGCGTGTTATAAAAAAGCGGTTTGCAGCTGTGATAAAAGAGCAAGCGCTTTTCCTGGCTTTTGATATACTGTTCTGTTTGGAGTGCAGGGCGACAATTTTTTGTTAATGAACTTCTTCTTCATAAAAACAAAATTCTTATACTGGCCTTTGAAGTGGTGCACTCACGTTATGAAGTCAACGATTTGCATTTCAAGTGATATTTTTTATCATAAATTTATCGTCCAAACCTAGGAATTTACAGGCGCGTTTGGTCAATTGTTTGCGCTCGGATTTGCGCGATGTTTACTTATAAATAAGTCAATGTTTTTTTTTTAGGTAATCATTTTTTTCTTTGACCTCTTAAGCTCCAAAAAATGAGAGGGGAAATTAGCATACATTTTTTAAAAGAAGGAAGCGCAGTTGACGAATTTGAGCTGAGGTCGCTGAGTAGTCAGATGGCTGCAGACAGAGGAAGTGCCGTATTTAAAGCTCCGCATACTTTGCATTCCAAATTTTCTCGGAAACTTTAGATTACAACGGCAAAATGTAAATAGTTGTTTTTACTTGCTGATACCTTTCTTCCTTGAGCAACGGTCGGGGGTAGGGCGGGGAGTCGCGAAATCGAGGCCTCTCAGCTGAACTCTTGACACACCTGAGTGAAAGTTTGCCGCCATTGTTTGAAACCCTTTCGTGGCCGGTATTCGAAAGAGCTAGAATATCTTACGGTAAGCTTTAATGTCTTTTATGAACGTGATATTTGGTTAAGTGGTTGATATGGTGTTTCTTTTCTTGATAAGCTTAATTTCCTTTTTTTTAATGGCGGTCTTGTAATGTCGTTCTTGCTATTTGAGCAAATGAGCCTTTTAATGTACGACGTCCGTAATAATCTCGCTCCTGATAACATTAAGAATATGTTCACGAAACTGTCCTCTGTCCACAGTTACCGGACTAGATCTGTTACTAATAAAAATTACCATATGTTCAACAAGTTAGAGCTGAAAATATGAAGCGAGCCTTCTCTATTTCCGGTGCTTTGATTTGGAACAGTATTTCACTTTCTATCAAAACACTTAAAAAAAAATCAATTCAGAAGGCAACTAAAGGGAAAATTCTTTGAAATACTGGAAAAAGAGGACGACTATATTAGAGTTTCTGATATTACAGTAAAATTCTAAAATAACATAGTGTACTTCCGTATTATTTTAAGTACAGTCTGCTTTCCTGTCTCACTCCGGCTATAAACCACACGACAAACTAGATTGCTTCTAGGATTGTTCGTTTAATTATATAAATATCTATTTATAGAATTTTCTTATTTCTCTTGTACCCGCCTCGAATAGCCTTTGCTAACTGCGGGCTCAAGCTTTGTAAGCTATACGTAATTTGAATAAACTTGTTGTTGTTATGTCAAATGAGCAGGATCTTCGGCCTTGAAGCTTCTTGTATCTTTACACTTAATTTATAACAGATGTGATTCAGTTCGGGGAACAGGCAAGAGTTATTCATTGAGATTAAATTTAATCATATTTTTTAGGCGTTTTCTGACACATATTGCTGCCCTGTAACACGTGAATGCAGAAATATAAGTGTATAAGCTTAACCCTTTTCAGGGTTATATGCTTTTGGTGAATGGAATAGATTTCTTTAATAGCTCTTATTTTTTGTTTTCCCAGTGCAGGTCATGTGACAATACTTTAGAGAATTGTTTCTTTCAAATTTTGTCTTATTCTCGTGCATAAGTACGCATAATTTATGAAATGAGTTGAATAGACTTTATCTTGTGTGTTTCGTTTTCCCAATGAATGAATTAATGTCCCAAGAGAGCCGAAAGAGCAACCCACAGTTCATCAAACACTATCCTGCTTGTTTCATCAACCATGCCAGACTTAATGAGAGTACAATGTACATACGATTTTAATTAACCATATGTATCAAGTTTTTTGTTAGGACCTTGATAATGTGGGTTCAGCTAGACTAGCCAATGCTACTTAGGTGCGAATTGAGTCACAGACAGACTTGTATTCTAGTGGGTCTCTTGGGACACTTTTGTAAATTTTTCATGATTTTCAGCAAGAAGTAAGTTAAAAACAAAACAGCAATAATTGTAATAACAAAGTGTGAAGATGTGCCAGAGCAGAATTGTAGTTGATCATTGAAAGTTTATTTGTAACAACTCTGACTTTGGGGAGGTCTCTTAGTAGTACCTTTAGTCATTTTCTATCTTATTGTCAGTAAGGTCAATAAGCGAACTAACAGCATAACTTGTTCAAATGGTTCAGTCAACAAGAAGCAGATAGGGCAGTTAAAGAAAATAATGACTAATTTTCTTCTTGCCCACTTCAGTTTTTTTAAAAGGGAGAGGATGGTTGGCAGAGGTGGGTGCTAATTGGGTTATTCCAGAAAAAATCCCGCCCCCCCCCCCAATGGAAGGCACATTCTTTAACCCCCCCCCCCCCACCTGGATTTCCAAAACTGCTTGAGCCCCCCCCCCCACCCATCTGGTTTTCCATAAAATTGTTAGATACTGTAATTTTAATTTTCACATAATGCAGAAGATTCTTGTAGGCATTTAGTGGATCTTTTTATTACAGTCAAAACAGGTCAAGCGTACCCCCCAAGATTCTATTAATGAATTGATTATTTGATAAATGAATGCATTATTTCCATAAAATTGTTAGATACTGTAATTTTAATTTTCACATAATGCAGAAGATTCTTGTATGCATTTAGTGGATCTTTTTATTACAGTCAAAACAGGTCAAGCGTACCCCCCAAGATTCTATTAATGAATTGATTATTTGAAAAATGAATGCGTTAGTCGTTCCTGTAACTAATCAAATTCAAATCGGAATTACTGCATGCGTAATGAGCAGTAAATAATTTACGAGAACTTGTCTGTATTTGGTCAGATTGAAAATCTTTGAATCAATTAAAATTCTTTGAAGACATTTACATCAAATTCAGGGAAACTGAGCTGGTAGAAATTTTGTGACTGAATCGTGTGTGAATTCATGGCTCATTACTCATGCAAGAATCTAGAGACGAATCTGAAATCTACAACTGCCTACGGACTTAACTTTCAAATAATAAATTCATTAATGGAATTTTGGGGGGTACGCTTGACCTGGCTTGACTGTAAATAAGTCTCAATTCTCCATGAATTCTGTGTTTGTTGTGAAAGTTAACTATATTTTCACAATTATCTTCTTAAAGAGGGGGCGTTGGGTTTTCGAGTTTTCAGTTTTGGCCATTCTTTAGGTTGGTTTTTCAGTTTTTGCACTGAAAAACATCGCTTTTTCGGTTTTGTTGTCTATTGTGGTTTCCGGTATTTTTTCATTTTTTAGCGTCTGGTTGTCTTTTTTTTTTTAGCAAGAATAGGGCAGGTTAGATTCCTCTGTTTGTCTCTGTGCAGTCACACGTTAGGCTATTTTATAATGTGCTTCTATTTTACAGTCAATAGAGGCCAAACTGTAATGTGGGATTCTGGAGTTTTGATTGAGGCTTACACCTATAGGAGAGCTTTTTGCAAATGCAAAATTTCCCTCATTGGTAGTCCTTACACTAGAGCCTAAATGAGCTAAGAAATATTTCAAGACAAGTAAATTTTAAGGACTTCAAGTAAAATAAAGCTTCACACACAATCAATTCTTTTATACTTCAGGCTAACTTAAGGCTATTTTCCCGTGCAACATAATTAAGATTGATTGACATGTTTTGCCTTTCTCAAAGCTTAGTCGGTGACAGTCGGTGAACTGTCGGATGACAGTCTACTAACACATGCCTGACAGATTTTTCGTGGAACTGTTATTCAATTTTACCGTTTGGTACCCATGTTCCACATATCATTAATGTTTGAGATCTAGACCAGGGTTTTGAAAATTGAGCTGTATAAATCTTCAGTTATGATGGTTTTGTATTTGGTTTTCAGTGGGGATCAACATCTATCGCGGTTTTTTGGGTTTGGGTAATTTTTAGAGCGGTTTTCCTTTTTTTTTTTTATAGATGTTATGGGTTAAAATTTTCTGTTGGTTTGACTTTTTAAAACTAGTTTGTATTTTAAAACCAGTTTAAATTTTTCAAACTAGGTTAAAATTTCCAAACCAGTTTAATTTTTTAAACTGGTCAACCTTTTGAGTGAAGGCGGGGTTAATGCAAATCGTAATGTAACGTGTTCACCCAGCTTGGCNTAATAAATTCATTAATGGAATTTTGGGGGGTACGCTTGACCTGGCTTGACTGTAAATAAGTCTCAATTCTCCATGAATTCTGTGTTTGTTGTGAAAGTTAACTATATTTTCACAATTATCTTCTTAAAGAGGGGGCGTTGGGTTTTCGAGTTTTCAGTTTTGGCCATTCTTTAGGTTGGGTTTTCAGTTTTTGCACTGAAAAACATCGCTTTTTCGGTTTTGTTGTCTATTGTGGTTTCCGGTATTTTTTCATTTTTTAGCATCTGGTTGTCTTTTTTTTTTTAGCAAGAATAGGGCAGGTTAGATTCCTCTGTTTGTCTCTGTGCAGTCACATGTTAGGCTATTTTATAATGTGCTTCTATTTTACAGTCAATAGAGGCCAAACTGTAATGTGGGATTCTGGAGTTTTGATTGAGGCTTACACCTATAGGAGAGCTTTTTGCAAATGCAAAATTTCCCTCATTGGTAGTCCTTACACTAGAGCCTAAATGAGCTAAGAAATATTTCAAGACAAGTAAATTTTAAGGACTTCAAGTAAAATAAAGCTTCACACACAATCAATTCTTTTATACTTCAGGCTAACTTAAGGCTATTTTCCCGTACAACATAATTAAGATTGATTGACATGTTTTGCCTTTCTCAAAGCTTAGTCGGTGACAGTTGGTGAACTGTCGGATGACAGTCTACTAACACATGGCTGACAGATTTTTCGTGGAACTGTTCTTCAATTTTACCGTTTGGTACCCATGTTCCACATATCATTAATGTTTGAGATCTAGACCAGGGTTTTGAAAATTGAGCTGTATAAATCTTCAGTTATGATGGTTTTGTATTTGGTTTTCAGTGGGGATCAACATCTTTTGCGGTTTTTTGGGTTTGGGTAATTTTTAGAGCGGTTTTCCTTTTTTTTTTTATAGATGTTATGGGTTAAAATTTTCTGTTGGTTTGACTTTTTAAAACTAGTTTGTATTTTAAAACCAGTTTAAATTTTTCAAACTAGGTTAAAATTTCCAAACCAGTTTAATTTTTTAAACTGGTCAACCTTTTGAGTGAAGGCGGGGTTAATGCAAATCGTAATGTAACGTGTTCGCCCAGCTTGGCTGAGAATGACTCTATACTGCTCAAGAATAGCGAAGGAAATCACAAATAAAAAACAGGACCTTTTGAGTATGTGTAAGTAAACATGTGTTTCCTATGAAGTCCACTAAGATGATTGATGGGACAGAAAAAGCCAAAATTCCTTCGAATTTTGCAAAATGCACAGTGTGATAGAACGAATTTCGCTGTAATTGAGGCAGGCCCCATTTTTAGGTTGGATGCTTGATTAAATAAATACAGTATTTCAAGTTGGCATGCGGTTCAACATCTAAGATAATTTTTATAGCTGTCTGTAGTGGACTGCTACGTGACAGTGTTTGGACTAAATGCCCTAAATTTTATTGACTACTTTGAGTATTGTAGAAGTAAAAACTTGAGCTCAGCCAACCATCCATACAGTGCTTCTGATAGGTTGCGGAAAAAAAAGCCAAATTTTGCGGGATTTTGAGAGATTCTTGGAAAAATCGACCAGTTTGGTGGGAATTTCGTGGAAATTTTCGGGGCTACATTCGCCATAAAACAATCGGTAAATAATAGCCGATTTTGTGGGAATTTCTGGGCAAATTTCGCTAGAAATGGATCGATTTTGCACTGATTTCACAAGCATGTTTAATGTTTTTGCATTGACAAGGAGATGTTTCCCACTTCAGTCTTTGGCTGTTTTGTGTGTTTGTGAGCAGCCTGCGCATGTTCCGAGGCAAGAAATCGAGAAAATAGGTTGTCGGTGTTGTTGGTGAGTCTGTTCAAAATCTGCGCCATTTTGAAATGTCACAATAGTTTGTTTGCGTCACAATAGTATTGATCATGTCATCTAGATATGTTTCGTCCATGTTGTCAAAACAGTGGAAAACGATGAATATTCATTGGACGAAGAGAATCAGAGTCATTCCGATTCCGGTTCTTTATTTTGATGAACACCTGGTTTTAGTTATTTTTAATGGGGTCAATAAATCTCCAGGCTTTTTTCCAAGTCTCCAGGTTTTTTGGACCTTGATCTCCAGGTTATTGGTCTTTTGGGCTTGAGAGGTCTGCATGTTCTTCCCTCTCAATGTTGGTTTTTGCGAGTTGGCTTGCCAGAAGCAACAAAATCAACACTGGGGGTGAAGGAGTACAACTTTTTGTCAGAATATGGGTACAGCACGGGGTGTCCCAACTTAAGGTGACTAGGATTGTAGGTTCTGTTTCTTTTTTCTCCTATGAAAATAGCTAGGGGTCATGCTCATACTAGCCATGGGTGAATCCCTAGCCCCCGGCCTGGAAAAAAAAAAAAACAACTTTATTTGATTGTCAATGTATTTAGCACGAAAGTGCTAATTGGGGACACTATTTTTACGTCTCCTAATGGAGACGGGACCGCCATTTTACATGGTCATCCGAGCCACGCGAAGGTCTCGCCGCTTGCAGTGCAAAGGAATTACCTTCATTTCTCAGTCATTTTAAGACCCTGAGTAATGGTCCGGCCCCGGGAATCGAACCCGCGACCACCCGCTCTGCAGTCAAACGCTCTACCGACTGAGCTAATCCTGCCACGGTTAAAGTGTCAGCCCTTAGAGCTTGAACTCGACATCTAATTGGTTTGGAACTACAATAGTCCATGCATGACTCTTTAAAAAGTGTTTTAAAAATATCTACCTTAACAAAGTCGCCACAGGTCAGGAAATGGTCAGAGAAAAAAAAATTCTTCAAGGTCAGGTAGAGTGAGGGAAATTCTCTTGGAGTCAGGGAAAATTTAATTCGTAAAAGTTGAACGACAAGGGGATGTTGGGTTTTCAAGAAAATCAATCCTTTTTGCCATAATTTGTTATGCTAAGGAACTTTCAATTCATGTACATTACACTGCATTTGACGTGCTGAAACCATAAATAAATGGGTGGAGAGGATCATGGCTGCATGTGAGGGGAGGTTTGAGTCCATTATTTCGACTAATATTGGTCAGGGAAATGTCAAAGAAAAGGTAGGGAATTTCAGAAACCTGTGGCTGTGGTAACCAATTGCTTGAGAAGACATATGTACCTGTATGTTATTGCTATGTTTGACCAACACAGTTAAATGTATGTACCGTTGTATACTCATTTTGCAGCTATGCATCAACTTGTATGTACGTGATTTTATAATTTATCCCACAAATTAAGTTCTGTTCTTCATCTCAGTGAACTCCTACATATCTGTCTGTTTGAAACAACATTTTGGCTGAAGTGTACTGTTGCTTTCTTTGCATTAATCCTGCAAGGCTGCAGCCATGCTGCAGAAAGACTGCTGACATGCCCAATTGCAATTAGCTTTCGTCTAGTATAAACATCAGTTTCACTCTTAACTATGGTGAAGACTTTAAAACTTACCAGGCAGTTTTTTACTTTTAGGGGCCACTTCACAGGACTGCACTTTTGAACAGAATGTGTGTAATTACACGCAGGACCAGTCAGATGAATTTGATTGGAGATGGTTTAGTGGAAGAACATCTTCCTCTGGTACTGGACCTACCTCAGATCACACTTCAAAAACTAACACAAGTACGTAACAATGTTTCAAAAATAAAAACCAGCCACAGTGGAACTTCAATTTAATGGACCTCCATATAATGAAGTCCTTAGTATAAGGAACAATTTTCTTCAGCCTGGCCAAAATTGTAGTAAAATGTATCGAACAGAACCTTGATTTAATGAAATCCTTGTTATATAATACAATCCACAAGTTGAAACATCAAATTTACCTCTATACAATGGATAAATGTCAGCATGCGATAAAAGATGAATGCCAAACAGACCAACAAGGATAACATTTATGTGACTACAGTAGTGTTAAGTTGAGTTTGTAGTGCAGTAGCTACGTATCCTCACTACTGAGGAACAGGGAACCCAAACGCTCTATTTGCTAATGAAATAATGAAATATATTTACCCGTTCCTGTGTCTTTATGAGTCATTTTGGAAGGGATTTGAATCCGATCAGAGACATTTAATAAAACACTCAAGTTTCATCTCACATTTCTAATATTGTCATGTTAACTATTAACTCTCGATATCCTTGGGAGATGATCTCGGGTTTCAATTTAACGGCCACAAGAAGAGAAAAGAGACAAGGGATGAAACTCTGTAGCAGTCTTCGTACCATCTGTGACTCCACTTGACCTGACCAGTCTCACGCGTGGAAATGCGCGAGGAAACTCGATCCGATGGCCGGCAGCCTTTGTCTGCAATTTCTGCGACATGCGATGTAAATGAATATCCTCTTCGTAATAATTTCAATGTTGTTTTCTGGTGAGTCAAATTATATTTTTTCCTCAGTTGCGTTCCAGATACAAAACAATTGATAGAATTATTATTAAAATCAAAGCAACTTTTTACAAAGAGATTGTTCAGTTTATGATTCTTGTTGCTATTATTGGAAATAAAAGCAGTAAATATTTTTTCCTTATCACCTATATCAAATTGCTTTCTAACTTTAAAAATTTAAATTTCCACTCTAATGGCCGCTCAAAGATACTCCAAAACAGGTGTCGCATAACTTTTATCCCGCGTGATTCAGCGTGGTATGATGATCTGTTTTCCTTTTCCAACACATCCATGCAGCTGTCGAATAAAACAAAAGAGACCGTTGTGAGAACAATAGAACCATCTTAACAAAACACACGTGTGATCTTGCAAACTTACTTCTGGTCAAGTCGAGTATATATAGTCACAGATTGGACCAAAAGTAGCCTCTAAAAACAACGCAAATCTAAGCAGGAGAACGGGCGTCAAAACATATGAAACCAACAACCCTGTATAGTTGAACCTTTAATTAATTGAGGTGTGGGATTCTAGCCGACTTTATTCATTACTGAACAGGGTAATTACGCCTCAAAATAAAAGTGCCCTCATTTAAGTTTCATCCCTTTGTTGTCTCTTTTCTCTTCTTGTGGCCGTTGGTGGAGAGTTAACAACAATGTTAACCGTCTGTGATCGGATTCAAATCCCTTCCAAAATGATTCATAAAGGCAAAGGAACAAACGTAAATACATTTCATTATTTTATTAGCAAATACAGTGTTCGCGTTCCCTGTGGTACTTGTAGCCTCAGGGATGTAGCTAAGGAAAAGCTAAGCAGGCTTTTAACCCTTGAAACCCTAAGATCAAAATATGAATCCTTATTTGTTGCCCCTATTCATTTCAAGGCTGTGCTCTAGCAGAGCCTGGTGGCTCGTGGCGCCTATAACTGTTGTTCTTGGGCGACTAGAAAATCTTAACTTTTTCGTAGAAATCATATACTGGGCACACTGGATTTCACAAGTTCAGAGCACTGGTAGTCTGCTACACAGCTGTTTTTAGTGTTGTCGTTAGTGGGGAGGAGTGTTGTGTGACGACACTAAAAACGGCTGTGTAGCAGACTAGAGCACTGGGCTCCCTTCAATTTTTCTCAGAGCACAGCCTTGCATTTCCTACAGTAGTTTTGGGGAGAAGTTGATAAAATATCAAGCAAATTCATCTTGGGTAATCATGTCCGTAATTCTCATGACAACTCTGTTTTACAAGGTATTGATACGACATTACAAGGAGAAATTTGATGCTGATCACTCTTAGGGGTTAAAGGGTTAACAGTACCAGTCAAGCTTGCTTTACCCCAACTGCTCCTTTACAATTTCTCTGACTCTCTCGTGTTAAAAGGAATTTGAGCTGGTGGTAGGCTTTTATTCAGATGGTTAATTAAGCCAGCAATCGACCAGTGACATCCCTGTAACCTGAAACATAGCTTGCAGTATCAGCAGCCAAAATTTCACAAGTCAGGACACTCTCCTTTCCAAATGTGCACCTCTTTCTGACTTTTAGCAATTTGCACCTTCAATTGTTGGTCAGACTGCACCCTTGATGAATCAGTGAGCCCTGTAGTTACATTGTAGGAACCTTAAACCCTTTAGGTCCTGATAGCGACAGACATCAATTTTCTCCTCACAGACACAATGTTTTTTTTATAATCAAGAGAAAATGGTATGAGAAGAAATTAAAGTTAAATTGCCAAAAGGAGGTTACAAAGATCTTAACAGGTTATCCAAACATTTACCATATGAAATGTTTGAGAATACTTATAATGAAATTATTGTAATTATGTTGAGGACAGGAATTCTTTTTCATTTTTGTTCAGTCCAAGCCTACATGATTTTATAGTCCTGTATAAGCGGCCAAAATTGACATCTTGAAAAAAAAAGAAAAAAAGTAGGCGCCACCACATGAAAGTATACTTCTGAATAGCTGGTTTCATTCGAGTGGTCACACTCCAGTATTTTGACCACTTTGTTGTCGTAGTGTCAAAAGTTACATGTACAGTATATGCTTTTATTGTGGTCTCTATATCTGACACTTTGAATAAAATGCCTTAATAAATATTTTTTATTTTCTTATAGTTTATACTGTTGGAGGCAATTCCATTGATGGTGCAAAGTGTGTGTTTCCATTTGTTTATGGTGGAAGAACATACAACAATTGTACAGATACTGCTCACTCCCTGCTGTGGTGTTCAACAACTAACAATTACCCCAGAGATAGAAAATGGGGAAACTGTGTTCCAAACAGTAAGTTATCAATGCCTTCAATAAGGGCTGGTAGCGGGCCAAAACTGCCCGCTAATTAGCCATCCTTAGCCGGCTACATGTACTTTCTTCTCCTTCTACCATACTGACAAAAAAGAAGCACAATCAAATAAAACTGTAAAGCATCTGTTTCCCACTTTTGAATGACATTAAACGCATATTTAAACAGGTTTAGATCTGTGAAACGTTCAAACCCTGCAATGTCGTGGGACGCCTGGGACATTTCAATGGCATTGTTCCCAATCTTGTATTTATTCTGAAGAAACAACATGGCATCTGTGGTAGAAAATGCCTCTTGAAAGCCCCTGGAAATGATATTCTGCCTGAACAAAGTTGACTTAATTGACTTGCCTTCAGTGTAATCAGGGTATGTGTACTGCTGTATACGTGTCTTGTACATGTATAATGTGAAATAGAGAAGAGAGGTCGCTATGCCAGGTTGCCATGGCAGCAAGATTTCTGGATTGCATCAAACTGAAAACGTCACTGAAAAAGTGAATTCTCACAGCTGTTTCAAACTTCATGATCTTAATCAATTTCATTTAAAGTGGCCAGAATCTATTTATAAGGGTGTTGGTTATGTTTTTTAATCGCGTTTTTCAGCAGGAACGATTAAATCGATTTCCATGATTTTTGGCATCCAGCTAGCTTAATCAATAATAGTTGAACTTTAAGAAAATGTGCTTTATTTTCTTTTAGGTTTAAAAACGTTTGAGATATCGGCATATGTTTAAAACCACATTTTTACATAATGTGACAATAACTTCGAAACCTAAGACAGATTTTTCTCTAACTTCAGCAAATATAAGCCTCAGAGCACGCGAGTTTTATAGCTGCAACTTTGAAGTCAGTTTTGACGTTAGAACTGCCTGACAGTGTACAAATGCCAGATCAAATTTGTGTAGGTAATAGCATGATTTGTAGTGACAGTATTTGGCATGAATACCACGCGTAATATTTCGAAATTGTCATGCGTAATTTCACGAGCCATTGGGCGAGTGCAATGGGAGACAATTTCGAGATATCACAAGTAGTATTTATGCCAAATATCATGTACAAATCATGCTATTATTTGTTTTTACTACTACCTGCAAAGGTTTTGTAATTTTCACATGTAGGTATTTCAAATTAAGCTGAAATGCCACTGCACTAAGGCAATCAAATTGCAGAAATTTCTCATGTAGTAGTATAAGGTAATTTATTCAAGCTTGAAGTTGTTAGATTAGTGCGATCACATTTGCACAGGCAGTTTGTCATTGGAAATATAATGAAAAGAATAATTAATAAGACTTGTCATATTTTTCTTCACCTTTATCCCCAAGTGGCAAACTTCCCGTGCAAATTTTATGTGAAGTCTAAAAAGCTTGAATAATTACCAAATACAAGGGCTTTCAGTGCAGCTGAAAAAATTGGTTAAATGGTTAGTTAGAAGTACTGGAGTTGTTGGCTTTATTTCTCCCCATAATGGAAACCTGTGCGGATGCTAAAAACTCTTGAGACTTTTTCGTAGATACTATATTTTGCCTTGTTAAGATAAGTTTCGAAAAGAGGGGGACAAATACAAAGTAAGTTTGATGAATGGAAGTTCTTCCATATTGCCCCGCATTTAGCATAGAGTTGTTCTTCTTGTATTGCGAACTGTATTCATTGTAGGTTTCTGATTTCTCAGTTTCTTGCAACTGAAGCTTTGGGCAAGGATACTCTTGGAGATAGGAGATTAGTCCATTGGCAGTTTTCCTCTATTTGTGGGTCAACTTTCACAAATGTGTTAACATTGCATTTTCAGACTTAATTTGACCAGGTATTTGTGCAGCCAGTTCTATGGTCACCATTGACTTCAAACTTGCAGATATAAAACTAGCTAAAACTAATAAGCTCTGAGGCTTGTTTGCTGAAGTTAGAGAAAAATCTGCCTTAGGGTTTCGAAGTTGTTGTCATTTTTTGTAAAAATGCAGCTTTAAACATATGCCTATAATATATGCCTATATTTTGTCAAACATTTTTATACCTACAAGAAAATAAATCACATTTTTTTAAAGTTTAACTACTATTCATAAAAGATGTCAAAAATCATCGAAATCGGTTCAATTGTTCCTGCCGATAAAAACAATTCCAAAACATAACCAACACGCATATAAATAGGTTCGGGCCACCTTAATTTGGGAAATTAATGTTGGTCAATATTATTAACATTATTGATACAATCATGTATGGCACACATGGCCTTGAAGAGTTGAATGCTGGGTCCACCTTTATGGGAGGAAACTCCTCTCATCACTTTCAACTATAGCTTCTCATGCAAAATTACATAAAGATTACTTTGGTTATTTTTTCTCTTGAAACACTTTTGTCTTCTTTTATGACTTAGCTCACCTCAGTTACACTGTCTGGTTGTTTGATTGACTGATTTCCATTTCAGGTGTTTATCCTCTTGGTTGTTATCAGACGAACTTTTTCAGAGAAACCATATTGAGAAGTATCACAGGCTCTAATGTCATTCAGCAGTGTATCAGTGCTGCTGCAGCCTCAAGACAGAATTATCAAGGAATTGGTATAATGAAGGTTGTCTCCAACTATAATTGTTATGCTGATACTCAAGCAGATCTTCGTTACAGCCAGTACAGTTCAAAGAAATGTAGCTCAAGTTTGAATGCTGCAAATGAGATATGCTTTTATTGTGGTCTCTATATCTGACACTTTGAATAAAATGCCTTAATAAATATTTTTTATTTTCTTATAGTTTATACTGTTGGAGGCAATTCCATTGATGGTGCAAAGTGTGTGTTTCCATTTGTTTATGGTGGAAGAACATACAACAATTGTACAGATACTGCTCACTCCCTGCTGTGGTGTTCAACAACTAACAATTACCCCAGAGATAGAAAATGGGGAAACTGTGTTCCAAACAGTAAGTTATCAATGCCTTCAATAAGGGCTGGTAGCGGGCCAAAACTGCCCGCTAATTAGCCATCCTTAGCCGGCTACATGTACTTTCTTCTCCTTCTACCATACTGACAAAAAAGAAGCACAATCAAATAAAACTGTAAAGCATCTGTTTCCCACTTTTGAATGACATTAAACGCATATTTAAACAGGTTTAGATCTGTGAAACGTTCAAACCCTACAATGTCGTGGCACGCCTGGGACATTTCAATGGCATTGTTCCCAATCTTGTATGTATTCTGAAGAAACAACATGGCATCTGTGGTAGAAAATGCCTCTTGAAAGCCCCTGGAAATGCTATTCTGCCTGAACAAAGTTGACTTAATTGACTTGCCTTCAGTGTAATCAGGGTATGTGTACTGCTGTATACGTGTCTTGTACATGTATAATGTGAAATAGAGAAGAGAGGTCGCTATGCCAGGTTGCCATGGCAGCAAGATTTCTGGATTGCATCAAACTGAAAACGTCACTGAAAAAGTGAATTCGCACAGCTGTTTCAAACTTCATGATTTTAATCAATTTCATTTACAGTGGCCAGAATCCATTTATAAGCGTGTTGGTTATAAATTTTAATCGCGTTTTTCAGCAGGAACGATTAAATCGATTTCCATGATTTTTGGCATCCAGCTAGCTTAATCAATAATAGTTGAACTTTAAGAAAATGTGCTTTATTTTCTTTTAGGTTTAAAAACGTTTGAGATATCGGCATATGTTTAAAACCACATTTTTACATAATGTGACAATAACTTCGAAACCTAAGACAGATTTTTCTCTAACTTCAGCAAATATAAGCCTCAGAGCACGCGAGTTTTATAGCTGCAACTTTGAAGTCAGTTTTGACGTTAGAACTGCCTGACAGTGTACAAATGCCAGATCAAATTTGTGTAGGTAATAGCATGATTTGTAGTGACAGTATTTGGCATGAATACCACGCGTAATATTTCGAAATTGTCATGCGTAATTTCACGAGCCATTGGGCGAGTGCAATGGGAGACAATTTCGAGATATCACAAGTAGTATTTATGCCAAATATCATGTACAAATCATGCTATTATTTGTTTTTACTACTACCTGCAAAGGTTTTGTAATTTTCACATGTAGGTATTTCAAATTAAGCTGAAATGCCACTGCACTAAGGCAATCAAATTGCAGAAATTTCTCATGTAGTAGTATAAGGTAATTTATTCAAGCTTGAAGTTGTTAGATTAGTGCGATCACATTTGCACAGGCAGTTTGTCATTGGAAATATAATGAAAAGAATAATTAATAAGACTTGTCATATTTTTCTTCACCTTTATCCCCAAGTGGCAAACTTCCCGTGCAAATTTTATGTGAAGTCTAAAAAGCTTGAATAATTACCAAATACAAGGGCTTTCAGTGCAGCTGAAAAAATTGGTTAAATGGTTAGTTAGAAGTACTGGAGTTGTTGGCTTTATTTCTCCCCATAATGGAAACCTGTGCGGATGCTAAAAACTCTTGAGACTTTTTCGTAGATACTATATTTTGCCTTGTTAAGATAAGTTTCGAAAAGAGGGGGACAAATACAAAGTAAGTTTGATGAATGGAAGTTCTTCCATATTGNTGGTTGTTTGATTGACTGATTTCCATTTCAGGTGTTTATCCTCTTGGTTGTTATCAGACGAACTTTTTCAGAGAAACCATATTGAGAAGTATCACAGGCTCTAATGTCATTCAGCAGTGTATCAGTGCTGCTGCAGCCTCAAGACAGAATTATCAAGGAATTGGTATAATGAAGGTTGTCTCCAACTATAATTGTTATGCTGATACTCAAGCAGATCTTCGTTACAGCCAGTACAGTTCAAAGAAATGTAGCTCAAGTTTGAATGCTGCAAATGAGACAGTTGCATTCTTGTTTACAGGTATAACTATACATAATTAACTCTTCCATTGCATTGTTATACATGTACTAATAACATAAGTACCCTATTATTACACATAACAATTATGTAATTGTAATTTTTTGCTGTGTATTACACATACAACAAGTACATAATCATTATGTCCAAAAAAACTGTATACTTTTGTTGTGCTACATACTTTGTTTTTTCTCCTCTTTTCTTTACTTTTTAAAATAACCCTTTTTCCATTCAGTACCCTTAACTCACAAGGTGTACCCTGTATTGCCAGGAAGCCTATGGTGTATAAGCCCCAGCTTCTATATAGGCTTTCTTGTCATTACCACTTTAGACCATTTGTAAAATAATTTATTTAGAATAGTGCTATCATCTTTAATACATTATAAATTTCATGTACATTGTTTAACATGTATTCTTATTTGGTCATTGGCAAAATAAATGAATGAATGAATGAATGTGTAATATATCCCTCCTCTATTCTGTGCCCTGTTGGGGGCTCATGTTTTGAGAGTATACGTCATAGTTAATTAAAGTGCAATGGTTTGGAAACCCTGTGTGATATGTTTTTTTTAGCTTTTTTGGACCTGACCTTGCACAATCTTCAATAGCATTCCTATAATTTTGAACTTACTGACCCATAGAAACATTGCAAATTCATTAGTGTACATTACCATACCCCCAAAAAATGGAAAAATAAAATGAGATAAAAAATTAACTACAACATATACATGTACAGGTGCATGTTACTCTGTTAAAAAGAGTACATAACTGACAAAGAATATTTTAACATAATTTACAATAACTTACTGTTGTAGCATGGTAATTTAAATGTGTTTTTGCTCATAAAGTGCATGTGTTTGTCTCTTTTAGGACGTTATATGTACATCGAGGCTTCGTACCCAAGGCGGCCTGGGCAGGCTGCACGTCTTTTTAGTCCTTCAGTCACTGTATCAGGATCAAGTACAAAATGCTTAGAGTTCTGGTATCACATGTATGGTCCCCATGTGGGGTCACTAAGTGTGTACACCAACACAACTACTGGTATTCTGAGCACTGCAATCTGGTCAAAAAATGCAACACAAGGAAATTTGTGGAAGTCAGCTGTTGTAGAAGTGCAAATGAACCAATCATACATGGTGAGGTTTGAGATAGCATTATGCACTGCCATCCTGCTGGGGCTTGATTGACCGTGGGAAGGCCCCAGGTATTTGCCCAATGATGTTCACAAATCCTCTCCCTGACCAAAAATGACACTTCTTCACTAAAAAGGAAACCATTACCCCTCCCTTTAGCACAACAAATGGTTCAGATGAGGCCTCAGGTCACAAAGTGCGAAACCGATTCAATCTCCCCATCTGGGGCTAAAAATTAGCAGGAAATGTCGGCATCAACTTCAGGGACAGGGCCAATATTGTACCACACCTTGGGCTCTCGACTTGGTATAGTACAAGTGGCAGAGTTCGTACAGAGTCTTGAATTCTTGCAAAAAGTCTTGAAATTTCCCAGCAATTTTCTAGACCTGGAAAAAGTCTGGAAAATAGAGAGAAAGTCTGGAAAAATGGTAAAAAGTCTTCAGTTTTACAACAAGTGCTATTACACTATTATGCTGGGTAAAAAAATAGCAGCAAATGTTGGCATCAGATCTTGCGCATTGCCTGTGTACATATATGAACCTCATGGGGTCAATTAAACTGCCCAGTATTGCCACTGTCAAGTGCATTAGACTTGTAACATTCATTTTTATTATATTTTGATTATGCAATAGTCAAGTTCCTCCATCAGGAAGTGGATCCAGTCATGGATGTGATGTTAATAATAATATTGTGATCTGTAAATATTGACCTTTCTGCTGTTAAATTAATTTTAATTACATTATGTACCGATAAATGAAAATAAGTTGTTGACACATTAAAATGAAAAACAAGAGGGAAAAAAAGCAAACAAACATGTTTTTAATAGACAAGAAAAAAAGGAAAGAAAAAAACCTTTGTTATTTATTAGTGGGTGATCAAAGTCAAAGTGCAGACTGGCAAACTGAGAATTTTTCAAGAAAATATTTAACTCTCACCTTCACCCGTCATTGTCTTTTGACTTATAGCCCTTATTAATTTTTGAGCTGTGATTTTTTAGATATACGTGCATAGCAACAACAACAACAACAATAGTCTTTATTTCCCTTAGCATCCAAATAAGAATTACTAATGTAAAAGGTATTAAGTGGAGCAGTATATATGCATTGCTTATTTGTCTGAGTATAAAGAGGGTTTCTAACTGATTTAAAAAATGTTCACTGTGTCACTGACACCTCATATTTTTGTGTTCAGCTGGTTTTTGAGGGAGTCAGGGGCAGTAGTTTCAGAGGAGACATTGCTATTGATGATATCCAGTTGAAAGATGGTTCCTGTCCTGCATCCTTAGGTCAGTACACTCTGTAAAAGAAACTTTGCATAAATGCAGCAAGATTAGCCCAGTCCTCAGGGCACTGACTGTAGAGCTGGAGGTCCCAGCTTTGATACCTGGGGCAGGAGCAACACACAGGGTCTTAAAAATATCAGAGAAATGAAGGTACTCCCTTTGCACAGCCTGCAAGTGGCTGGACCTTTGCTGTTGGCCAGAACCTCTTTAGAACCTCTAATTTGATAGGTCCTTGTTGGCCCAAAGCTCTATTGTTTCAGAGTTGGGGTTCATTGCTAGTTTTGTTTTGGTTAGGGCTATCTATTGTTTTCTAAACCAATCCTGTGAGCCATTCGTAGAGCTTCAGGTCCACCCGATGTTTGCACGGCCTTGGTGACTATGTAAAATGGCAGTCCCGTCTCCAGGTCGATACTGAAGTAAAAATAGTGTCCCCAATTTAGTACTCCTGTGCTAAATTCATTGACATTCATTGTTTAATCTGGACAATAATAGGTGGCGCTCACTCCAAAACAAATGAATCATAATGAATTATATAATTTAATCACGATATAGGCAGTTAAATATGAGTCAATGGATGCTTTTGTTTACTTCTATTAATTTTAACAAGTATGTCTTCTTGATAGTTTGCGATTTTCAGAAGGATATGTGCGGTTTCATTCAGGACACTTCTGATAATTTTAACTGGACTCGGAATAAAGGTTCAACTCCAACTTCAGGGACAGGGCCAATATTGGACCACACCTTGGGCTCTCGACTTGGTATAGTATAAGTGACAGGGTTTGTACAGAGTCTTGAATTCTTGAAAAAGTCTTGAAATTTCCCTGCAATTTTCTAGACCTGGAAAAAAGAAAGTCTGGAAAAATGGTAAAAAAGTTTTTTCAACAACAATTTTCTTTTTGTTGTGGTCAAATCATATCTATAGTTTCACCCATACGTTTAGAGTGCATCCAGAGAAAAGCTTTGTGCCTGCTTTGTTAAGGTCTGTATTGATCACCTATTATTGATAACCTTGAGTCTGGAGAAAAGAAATAATAAATTGTTTAGGAAAAAAGTCTTGAAAGTCGTCTTGAATTTGGATTCAAGAATCTGTATGAACCCTGAAGTGGTTTTTTGTTATTCCTCTATTTTCACATTCCTGTTTAAGCTTTGCAGTTATTAGGAGTAATCTACCAACAAGCACTAAGCTATAAAATGAATACAGCATTTTGTCAACAACAAAAAATATGGTGCTTTTTGATGATTATGATTATCATTGATTTATATTTTAATTTTACTGATACTTCCTTTATTACATCTTATATTTTGATACTTTTTGTATCACATCATTGTTCAGGGGTTTCAATAAGCACCGACAGCCGACGAAACGTGTCGGCTACTTTGCTCATAGAGGGCAGCTACTTTTTTCAGAAAGAAGAAGCAACTAGTCAATGCTAGATTTCAGTCATTTTTTCACAAGTTTCTTTAAAGGTGTACACACAATTTGTATGTAATTATTTAAGTTTTCATCATTATTTTGTTCATTGCCTGTAGAAATTGATTGTGTGACTGATAAATTGAAAGCTACATTTTCTTGAATGAAAAACACGCTCTTTTGTCCTCAAATTTAGTATCGAGAACACTGAAAATCGCATCTTAGGACTTTGAAATTTCAAAATTTTCTGGGGCAGAACGTCATAAGCAAGCAAGCCATAATTATGTACACAAACTAAGATGGGTAAGGTTTTTTCATATTATTATTACCTGATAGGCTAATTTTGTTTGTGTACAGTTACAAATGAGCAGACTTGCTGTACATCTTTGTTTACTAGCTCTTAACCTTCAAAAGCAGAAAAACAAGTGCATATTTTACAGTGCAAGAAACTCAAATAGCTGGCACCACCCAAACATGAATGGCCCAATCACAGGTCACTTTCACCAACAAAAGGACTTAACTTTGTATCGGCAGCATATTTGGACCACAATGAAACTTCCAGATGGTCTCGCTGTAATTGTGTTATCTATAAATGTTTTTGTTGTATCTTATTTTGATTTTAGGTTATTATCTTCTGTTTGAGGCAAGTTCTCAGACACCTGGGTCCAAGGCTAGAGTTATGAAATCTTACACAGCAACATCATCCAAGGGCATGTGTCTTAACTTCTGGTTCATGATGTATGGGTCATCTTTGGGAACTCTCAATGTTTATCAAAAAGTAGGATCTAGCCTTGGAAATTCACTTTGGAGTATTTCAGGTGACCAGGGTTTGCAGAGAACCTGGCTGAAGGGACAGGTCACATTTAACAGTACAGGAAATTTCAGCGTAAGTGCTATAGAAATAAGCTGTTCATCTTTTTGTAATTGCCAAATAATGATGAAACTGTCAAGCTAACAAAACAAAATTGACTAGTGTGTTAGGCTACGACCCTCCTTTTCATTCTGTATATTTTGATTTGAATCTTTGTTTTTGAGGGCAAAAAATGATTTGGGAGTTTAGGAAACCAGCCCTTGGCCTTTTGCTGTTTAATGTTGTGTTCAGATTAGATTTATTTGTTTAAATCTCACAGGCTGTATTTGAAGGAGTCAGAGGAGGAGGTTCAAGGAGTGATATTGCTATTGATGATGTATCAATGACTTCTGGGGAGTGTTCTGCTGTAGGTGAGTATTAAGCTACTGAATGAGGTGGTTTGTTACGTTACCTCAACTCCAGTGGTTGTAACTAGAGCTGGTTGATTATGAGAATGAGCTCTCATAAGCAACCACATGGTAAAACAATAGAGGGTGATAGCTAAGGAGAGCCTCAGAAACTCATTTACAATTCATAATATAAAACAAAAGAAGTTAATGTTTAACAAGTGTCTTATATCTGACATAGACATCACATGTCTAAACTTTAATTATGTCCAATTTTTTTTAGACCAAAATAACCCAAGATCTTTATCAATGAACCATTAGTACAGTGTGCTGTTTCATTAAATTGTTTCAAGATGTAAATGAATAAGACTCTGAGTGGTCGCTTACAAGAGCTTAACAACAAAGGAAAAGTCCAGTTGGGTAATCTCAAAAGTGGTCGCAGTCACTCTTGGGAGCAGCCACTCATGAAAGCTTTTCATTACAAAGTTTAAGTCACAGTTCAGATGGGTTTTCACAAAGGTGGTCATAACTAGAGCTTGTTGCTTACAAGATTGGTCGCAAAGACAGCTTTGACTGTAATTTAAAATAAAATGAAATAAAATGATGATAATTGCTGCGGAGCGACCGAAGGGAGCGAGCAGCAACATAATCAGGATTTAAAGGAAATATATAAGGGGCGACGAATTCTCGAATTCATCACTTTTTACCACAATGCATTGCATTTAACCAGAGTGCATTGCGCCACGAACAACTCAAATAAAAACACGGGGAAGTAGTGCATCGTTCGCTGCTCAGTTCTACAGCACGGTTAGAGGTCTTACCAAATTTTAAGACACGCAGGAGTCTCTCAGATGAGTACGATGGTTAACTTGGGGATTGGATTTCAATTCAAGAGCTTTTTGACTCATCCAGGTGTTAAACTTGACGAGAAGATGAGCATTTGCTCTTCGACTCCGCAACACGGGGGGATTCCAGCTTGTTAGGTGATGTGAAGTTGGAAAATGTCATGCAATGCTACTCTTAAGAAACTGTATGAGCCGAAAATGGATGTGATTTTGACCATTCGCTTCAAAATAACAGCAGAAATTGCGATAACGAAACATATGTTTTGTGTCCTACTTTGCAGACCAGGACGTGTATCGGCGTTTTGAAAAGCATAATTATGTTCTTTCATTCAATCATTGCCATGGAATATGCGTTTACATTGTTTTTTCACTGTTAATAGCTCGGTTAATGCGGCTGGCGATCATCTTGCCGGCGGAAGTTTCATGGAAAAGGAATAAAATGAAAGACTCTTCCCAACTATTACGTTATCTTCCTCTGTGGTGTAGTGGTTAGGTGTAATCGCGTCAAGTCGAAGGTGCCGGGTTCAAGTCCTATCGAATTATTTGTTCCTACTTTCTTTTTTTTTCCCGTTTTTTGTGTTGTTGTTTTCTATAAATATATAGCTAAATAACTGTTACTTAATAAAGTGCAACAAACAGCAAGAAAAGTATTGTGTTTCCAGAGAAAATATCGTGCACCGTATATTAAATAAATGGATAAACAATCTGAATTTCTATTATTTCCTACAATTTACTGTGGGAAAACCAGAGTTGATAACCACTTGGTCATTTTCTAAACAACGTTCCCACGAGTTCTTTCTATAGACTGATAGTAATTATTCTAGTACTTTCCAACATGTAAATAGGACATTCAATGTCATTTTTGATTCTTTTAAGTCTCACTGCCTAACTAATGCCAGTATCAACAGAATGTGCTGCAGCATTACTATCTTTTAGATACCCTAGTAATAGCAATAAAAACAAAACAACAACACCTATGCACAAAAAATATAAAACAGTGGACATTACATTGTATTTTTATGTAAATTCTGGACAATAACACTGATTTAAAGTCATTATTAGCCATATTTTTTTTGAGGATGTAACAGTGCAACTTAATTTAATTTTCATCCTGTGTGGGTAGGCTCCCAGGCTGCCTAAGGGATGGTAAAAAGGTAAGATAGGCTCCTGAGTGACAAGTACATGTATGCAGTCCTGCAGTCCAATGAATGAATAATGTGGCAATTAAGAAATTGTGGTACTTGTCCAATGATGCATTGGATTAATTCTTTTTTGTACCAGTAGGAAATGAAAATGCACTAGTAGCACATAATATGCGCTTGGTCTAGAATGAACATTTTCTTGGTAATGTAGTTAAGTTGTAACTTTAAATGTTGAGGTAAATGAATTTACCAAGTCTTTACCTAGTTGATTAATTAATAACCTTCTGGTTGAAATTGTTCAAAATTAATTATACTTGAATGGGCTTGAATTTTGGATCATTTTATTTTCTGTCAGGGGACTGTAACTTTGAACAAAGCTTCTGTACATGGATTAACATGGCTGGTGATCAGTTTGATTGGATCAGGGGATCTGGTAGCACTGCAAGCAGCTTCACAGGTCCCAGCAGAGATAGGTTGGGCTCTTCATCAGGTATTGAACTACCAGTAACTTGAATCTCATCTATAAGTGTAAGGAAATGTTTCACCTCATTTACCCTGTTATACATAATTATTGTTATAGCCAGAATTTTTTTTCCAACAGCACTCCTTCAAGGTCACATGACATCTAACAAGGAAACTGTTTCCTGCCAAAACCTCTAAGTGGGCAACATTGATGTCAGAGGGTAACAGTCACGGCTGTCATTAAGAGTCGGGGGGAATTTCCCCAGCTATTATGAACATAACCCCGGCCTACTTTTGTAGGAAAGTAGAAGAAAAATAGAACCAAACAAGATCCCTAGATTCCCCGCCTTCTTGTATCATTAGCCCTGCAACTTGAAATTTTAGAAACATGCCCTGAACAGTGCACTCAGTTACCCGTAAATGTTGACCAAGGATCTCCGTTACAGCAAGGTTTAATGAATTTCCAGCTATATATAAACCAGTTACTTAAAGACTGGTCTCTCGGTAAACAGTTAATTGTCAGTTTGTTTCTCTCAGGAAGCATTGGGATTCTCAGGAAACAAAATTAACTGTTTCCCTCAGAACCTGCAGTCATTAAGTGTTTATTCTATTCTCAACTAATTGTTTAATTATAAGGAATGTAAGTATGAAGATCAGAGAAATAGTTTGAGAGGCTGCTTGTACATGCCATTTCAGCTTGTACTAATCCGATACAATAACCAAATTATCAGTGTTCATTATAATTATTATCAAGGTTCAAAAAGGCACATTTTGAAAATGGCCCTTCCTCCAAATCATGCACAGGGCGGGAAAAGAAAGGAGGGCTTGCAATTTGTTGCAAGCTCTCCTTCCTTTTCCTGCCCCACTGCCAGAGTGCCCCTGAGAGCTTACTCGCAGGCTAAGGGGATCGAATCTATAAGAGTTTAAATCTGAACTAACTCTGAGGTCTTTTTGTTTTCCTTTTCAAGGATACTATGTCTTCATTGAAACATCAAGTCCAAGAAGACAAGGCGACAAAGCAAGACTGTTAAGTCAGCAATTCAATGGCACTAATGCTGGTAGCTGCTTCACCTTCTGGTACCATATGTATGGTGGTACCATAGGTACACTCAATTTGTACCAAGTGGTTGGACAGACAGAAACACTTATCTGGACACTTTCAGGAAACAAAGGAAACTCCTGGTTTAGTGGACAAGTACCAGTTGGAAAAAAATTGTTCAATGGATATAAAGTATGTCAGAATCATGTTGTATGGAATAGAAGAACCAGTTACGGCATTAGTTTTGAGAAGAACAGGGAAGGCAGTTTTATTTGGTTGTTCAGCCATCATGCTATGCTGGGGATGGTCTCTCACCATGATAATATATGTATATGTGACACAAATTTTGAGTTAGATCCTTGGACCTGGTATTCATATTAGTATTCAAATTCATTTGTTTTTTCTCTCAGCCCCACCCTCGATGATTTTCTTAGGGTCTCCAGTTTTCCTCCCAAGTTGAATTCCAAATCCCAGTGTTATGTTAGAAGTCTTCAGCTCACACAAAACTGGTCCATGTTTAATAGAGAGTTAATAACTGGAGGGTGTTGATGTAATTATTTCTATTTTCTCTGACTTAATTATCTATGAGATATTACCGCCTGCAGAGCGAATCTTTTGCATTCTGTGTGATTCATTTCTTATTTCCTGTTATTTTGAAATATCAGTACATGTAAAGTTTCTTTTTTCATAACAGATTATAGCCGAGGGAGTCAGGGGGAGTAGCTATACTGGTGACATAGCAATTGATGACTTTAAGGTCCTTAACGGTGTCAGTTGTAGTATTATACCAACGAATGCAGACCCAAATTCTCCAACAACTAGTGCACCTGTTACAACTGTGCCTCCCACTACCACACCAGCTCGTAAGTACACCTTAGTTTAAGACAGCTGTCATGAGCAAAGCTTCAGCTCCTGTAGCGCATTTGTAGAGCTTCTGGGCTTACGTCATTGATGGTCATAGATTTCACTTTTGTTGGCAGTAACCAGAGATTGTTTTCAAGTCTTGCTTTGCTGGCCGTGGTGTAATAAAAACTATTGTTTGCTAAGTACTTGTGTTAAATAAGTAATGCCGTTCAAGGGTCGCAAATTATAATTATGTAGTTGATGTTGAAGATAAAACGACAGGAAAACTAAGTTTAAAGTAAAATTATAGCTCCTGCCCCAATCTCCTCATGGTTTCTCTGCCCTCGCCCGCCTTTATTACTTAGCGCGCCCAACCAAAACCGCCATGCTACGCAGGCTAGTAAAATTAATACAATTGGCAGATAAGCAGCTTTTCTCTTTCACCTGCTTTTTCCTGAAGGATTAAAAAGGGAAAAGTTTGACAATTTAAAAAAAAAAACATTGAAAACCATTTTTGCAGCAAATGTTGGAATCAACTGCAACTTTGACTCAACTTTGAATCAATTCTGCACTTGGACTCAAGACAACAAAGATCAGTTTGACTGGACTCGGAAATCAGGTTCCACAGCTTCATCACCAACTGGACCCTCTGTGGATCACACAACAGGCACTTGTAAGCGATTTTTTGAGTGCATTCACTTTATTTGTAGATGATACAAATCATTGGACCTTTGTCTGTTTAGGTAATATAACTAGCCAGCTGGTCCAGTAGCTAATAGTTTCAGTCAGCTGCCTTGTCTAAGCAAGAGTACATGCATTTAACTCTTTCTGTAATGGAAACCAGAGGTGACCAAGTGTCCATCTTATTGAATTGTCCACCCTACCAGTAGAGGGTCAAAGAAAATGGCTAAGCGTTGAAGAGACCAGCTTTAGGTGTGCAGCTTGAGGGAGGTGTCCATCCTACAGAGGTCTCCTTTATGATATATTTGACTGCTGTATTTCTCGCCAGCTACATGTTTAATAAAAGGGATCTATGTTGAATAGCATACAAAACGTCTAGTTTATAAAAAATGCTTGAGCTCACAATGTTTATCACCGCTGTCTGTGTTTTATTTTTGATCAAACTACGTTGAGCCAAGAACAAAAGTCTCTATGATATATGTTTAATATTTAAGAATGTATTCATGATAAGTGATGAAGTGCCTTTATTTACCATACATTCGTTCATACACATAACCTATTACATTACTACAAGGCAGGAAATCAATCAATCNATTTGACTGCTGTATTTCTCGCCAGCTACATGTTTAATAAAAGGGATCTATGTTGAATAGCATACAAAACGTCTAGTTTATAAAAAATGCTTGAGCTCACAATGTTTATCACCGCTGTCTGTGTTTTATTTTTGATCAAACTACGTTGAGCCAAGAACAAAAGTCTCTATGATATATGTTTAATATTTAAGAATGTATTCATGATAAGTGATGAAGTGCCTTTATTTACCATACATTCGTTCATACACATAACCTATTACATTACTACAAGGCAGGAAATCAATCAATCCCTGTAGAGCTTTTAGAAAATCTCCGCTTTATTCTATGTAAAGAATACAGAATGCAGACTTCCTGTTTTACGAACTGAAATGAACTAAAACTATTATATCTATTTCTTAATCACCTACTCTTAGTTCTTAAACATATTATACGAACACATGTTTTTTATTTTCGAGGGAACTGGGAAGGTTGTTCCACATAATAAATTGCTCCCTTAAAACCTATAGATTATGTTTTACTTGCTGTGCACAGCTCAGCCTTTGGACACACCCATTTGTTAAAAAAGTACTTTAAAAGATGCGCTTTAAGTGCTATATAATCCTTTAGAAATGAATTGGCCCCAAAAATGTTTCAAAGGTTACTATAGTTCTCACTCTCTTCTCCCCATGATACTCAAAGTTTATTCTGCAAGGCACTGTTAAAGCCCAGAAGCTTTTAAGTATCTGAAAAACATTGATTCAGGGAGGGGACTTTTTTGGTTGTTTTACTCTCGTACCAGTGATCTACTCTCACTTTGGTAATACATTTCTGTTTCCAAAATATGCAAACTGTAAACTTTGTAAACAGTACTGGCTTCGCTTCAACAGTCTGTCACACTCTTCTTTTGTTTGTCTCCTTGATTTCCACACTTGCAAAAGAAGTCAACAGTGACCACAGGACATTGCAAGAGGGCATCCTCGATCCAAGTGGGATACAATTGTGATATAGCTAAATTTAACAGTTTCGAATGAACTACAAAACTCTCACTGTATTGTTTTGTATGCTTTTAGCAAGTGGATGGTACATATACATCGAGGCATCATGGCCAAGAAAGCCAAATGACACAGCAAAGCTTATAAGTTCAAATGTTCCCGGCACCACTGCTAGTGGCGGAAAGTGTCTGTCTTTTTGGTACCACATGTATGGAGCAGACATCAACACCCTTAGTGT